TCAAGTGTTCTCCAAACTGTGGGTTGTTCATTAGGGCCGGCGGCATGTTTGACTAGTTGTTGTAAATGAAGTTTCGGGGCTTTATTAGAGCCGGGGGTTTTGGTCCGCCGGAGGGCGAATCCTGTTTCCTCCAGTTCAGTTAGCTTTCTGCTAGCATTAGCTGCGCTCACACTTTCTTTTGCTCTGTTTCAACAACGCGTCACGGATTGGCGTGACATTGCGATGGCAGGTTGTGTTTAAGCACAGATCAACTGTCCTTAGGTCTCAGTGAGGTTTGAACCGAAGAATACTGGTGATGTAAGCCCGATCAGTAACGCAGCAGGCCCGGCTAACCAACTGCGGCCCGGCGCATGGTGAGGCCCGAAGTTAGCTTGAGCTAATCCCCCAGTTAGCCGGCGTTAGTATGAAATGATCCCAGCTTATAAACGATCAGATTGTTCAGGAATATTTCTGATGTCTTTCCACGTTGGATTTATGCACAATCCAGAATAAAAAGGCCGAAAATGGCGGCAGTTGTTCGAAATCACGACCCGACACCCACCAGCTCCGTTAAACCTCCCAGCTTCGCCTTTTGTCTGGCCCTGCTTCCTTTTGTGAGGAAAAACTGACTGAAATCCGTTGTTTCGGATCATTTGACATAAAATAACTTTCAAAACAGCTTTGTGGTGTGTTTTAAAACAATCTGGTGTAATCATGTTTCTGAGCGTTGAACAAATAAAAGCTCAGGTATGAAGACATGTTGGGGTCAGGTGGCACGAAGTGACCCGAAGTGACCCGAACTTCCCGGAAATACACCTGAAAAATATGACAGGAAGGAGCGTCAGGATACTTTAATAATTACACTGCTATTAATTAAATGTTGAGATAGTTCACTTATTACTCTGTATTTTGTTAAATTCAGTTAGTGTAGAACATATTTTAATAATAATAATAATTAATATTTTGATTATTACTCTTTTGCATAAAGATATTTATTTCTATAACTGAAGTGTTAAAAACATGAATTTGGTTTGATAAAACCTCTGTATAGTAAAATATTTTCTTTTATAAAATATAACTAAGATATTCTGCAAAATTTTTGAGTAAAAATCTGAATTTTTCTAGTTTTCTAAAATCTCAAAAGCAAATTTTTTTTTTCCTGTTGCCAAACTATATTACTATTTAAAATGTTTTTTAAAGATGTGTCGCAACACAGCGTGTGTGAAATTGTTTTAAAAACATTTAGGAGAGAGACAGTTTCCTCCTGAATTTGGTTTATTTTTAAAACAAATAGCAGAGTTTGGTTTGTTTTTGTGTTCCATCCAGTTTGCTCAGTTTCAGTTTTGCTGTTTATCAGAAATATGAAGTCATGTTGGTTTTAGTAAATTTTGAAGGAAAACTGTTCAAACGTTCTTCTGTTGTGGTTTGGCTGCTAACTGCCGTCTTTCTCTCCTCCCAGGTGTCTTTTATGAATAATCAAAAGCAGCAAAAGCCAACGCTAACCGGCCAGCGTTTCAAAACGAGGAAAAGAGGTAACCACTTTCCTTGGCGTTTCTTCCTCCGTTTCTCTTCCTCTCATTAACGTTTTTATTTCCCCTCCCCGCAGATGAAAAGGAGAGGTTTGACCCTACTCAGTTTCAAGAAAGTATCGTACAAGGCTTGAATCAAACTGGCACTGATTTGGAGGCGGTCGCAAAGTTCCTTGATGCCTCTGGCGCCAAACTCGACTACCGCCGGTATGCAGAGACGCTCTTCGACATCCTGGTGGCCGGCGGCATGCTGGGTAAGTGTTACAGATCGCCGGCGGTTTGTGTTTGAGTTTCCTGAAAGCTAACCGGAGGCGGCGGCGTGTGTCCTGCAGCACCAGGCGGGACGCTGTCTGACGACCTGACCCGCACCGAGTTCTGCCTCTTTACGGCGCAGGAAGACCTGGAGACCATGCAAGCATATGCTCAGGTGAGACGCGACGCGACGCAGCGCTCCGCTGGGTTTAGATGACGGACTCTGACCACGTTTTTGTTCCTCAACAGGTTTTTAACAAACTGATCAGGCGCTACAAGTACCTGGAGAAGGGCTTCGAGGAGGAGATCAAGAAGGTGAGGAGGTGCAGCTGTTTATAGATGGAGTGGATTATTGCCGCAACGCGACACCGCAGCGTGGCTGCAGCACCTGCTAATGCTGCGGCTGTTTGTTTGCAGCTGCTGCTGTTTCTAAAGGGGTTCACTGAGTCTGAGCGCAACAAGCTGGCCATGCTGACCGGCATCCTGCTGGCCAACGGCAGCATATCTGCCTCCATCCTGAGCAGCCTCTACAACGAGAACCTCGTCAAAGAGGGTGAGGCTGCAACCACTTCCTGTTCCTCTGTTTGACCCAAATGTGCCCAAAACTTTCACTCAAGAGTAGAACTTATTTTTACTCCAGTAAAAGTGAAAGCTATTTGGTAAAAATACTGATTAATAATCATGTCATATTGAAAAACACCAAATTATAAAGTTAAGTGGAAATTGTGGTACTTAATGACAATAGTTCATTTAAGTAACAAAAATAAAAGTTTTTCTTTTCAAATCAGTTCCTTTCAGTTAAAAAATGAAAAATGCTCCTAAAAGTCACGTTTTTTCAATAAAAGAAGTTACTCTAGTAACTAACTGAGTAATGGTAACTATCTTCTTTCACGTTCTGCTTCCAGGAGTTTCTGCAGCGTTTGCTGTCAAGCTGTTCAAGTCGTGGATCAACGAGAAGGACATCAACTCTGTTGCTGGCAGTCTGCGCAAAGTGGGCATGGACAACAGGCTGATGGTAAAACGCCGCTGCTGTTTTGATTCTATTGAAATTGCTCCTTCTGTGTTCTATGGCATAAACACAGAAGGATAGTTAAATTGCGATGCCGTTAGCTAACGAGGCTAATAAGCATCCATGTTTGAGAATTTTCCAGCGGTTTGTCCAGAGCTGCGCCTGACTTCGCCTGCTTTAAGATTGTTTTATTTGTTTTCCTTCAGGAACTCTTTCCTGCCAACAAACGGAGCTGTGAGCATTTTTCTAAGTACTTCACCGACGCCGGGCTGAAGGAGCTGTCCGACTTCGCCCGCAACCAGCAATCCATCGGCGCACGCAAGGAGCTGCAAAAGGAGCTTCAGGAAATGATGTTGCGTGGAGACCCTCAGAAAGAGGTGAGCTTCCTCCCGCTGTAACTCCACCCACAGCCAGGGGGAACAGGTGATGACCGGGCGGAGTTTGCTCCTCAGATCATCGCCTTCACCAAGGAGGAGATGAAGAAGGCTGGCCTGTCAGAGCAGGCCATGATCGGCATCATCTGGACCAGCGTGATGAGCTGCGTGGAGTGGAACAAGAAGGAAGAGCTGGTGACCGAACAAGCCATCAAACACTTGAAGGTTAACCAAATGAATTCATTTACATTTAGTTCAATAATTTCATTTAGTTTTCCTTTGGGATCAATAGAGTATTTTTGAAAAGCGTATCATGATTTAGCAGTCTGAGGCTCCATCTATGACCAAAACCAAGATGTTTCAGTAAAAATAATGCAGTTTCATTGTAAAATGTCCTGTAAATGTTTGTTTTGCAGCAATACAGCCCTCTGCTGAAAGCCTTCACCTCCCAGGGTCTGTCTGAGCTCAGCCTGCTGCTGAAGATCCAGGAGTACTGCTACGACAACATCCACTTCATGAAGGCGTTTCAGAAGATCGTGGTGCTCCTCTACAAAGGTCTGAGTCACCACGTTTTGTTTTCCCGTTTCTGTTCGCTCTGAGTGGAAGCAGACGCTTTGAGAAACTTTGTCTTCCGTCTCCCAGCTGACGTACTGAGCGAAGAGGCCATAATGAAGTGGTACTCTGAAGCCCACGTCGCCAAGGGGAAGAGCGTTTTCCTCGAGCAGATGAAGAAATTCGTTGAGTGGCTGAAGAACGCAGAGGAAGGTGCGTTAGCCTAGCGGCTAATTTACTGGGCTTTCTAGAAAAAGGCTAAATAAAAGAATATCAACGTGCATCCTGACCATTATAGAATATGGTCAGGATTTAAATAACAGTTTCAACTTGGCCTCAATTGGGCTCCTAAAGTTTTTACTAAAAAATCAAATTTTCTTTTCTGTAGAGTCTGAATCTGATGAAGAGGAGGCGGACTGAAACCTTCATCACCAGACGAGCTTTTCCACTTTTATTTTTGTTCTGTTTTGTTTTGTAGCAGCAGGAGCAGTAGAATGTCTCGGCCCTTCCTCTTCTACCTCCTGTTACTGATTCCTCTCCACAAACACTCACCTCTACCACCGAAACCTTTCAGCAGTATTTAAAAGCAAACGGTCCTGGAGGAGCCGCGGCTCCGCCAGGAATCAGGAAAACCAGGAATTCTGCCCTCTTTTTTCGATTCGTCTCCAACGCCTTCTCTAATCCGGATCCAAGGATTCGATGTAATGTCAGCCTCTTGGTTCTGAAGGATTGGGTTTATATTTAAGGTAAAGCCGTGCGACTGCAAGGCTCACAAATGTAATCAGTCTTGCCAAAGTTTTTTTTTACTTAGTCCAGCTTTAGTTTACGTTTTTTTTTTTCCGTTTGTAAAACTCAGTTTATTTTTATTTCCACTTTTTTCCCTGTTTCTGCTCAGTCCATCTGAAGAAACGCCCCAACCGCCCTGTAAACGCCTCGCCAGCTACCTGATTATCGTCAGTTTATACTTTCTTTAATCTGATATAAACCAATTTGACTTTTTTATGAAATAAAGATTATTGAAATGCTATTTGCTGTTTTTGTTGTATTTTACAAATGTTGTGAAGGTTATAAAAGTTCATAAAAGTAAAAAGTTTTCCACAGGCTATTTATAACCAGTTCTGATTGGTCTGGTCAGGCCCCGCCCACATTCGCTTAATCTGCTTTGTTACTTTAAGAAAACTTAAGAATTATTTTAAACAAAATATAGATTAACTAAAATATAAAGCCTCATGTGACTAAAACATCAGTGTAGATTGAAATTGTGGTATTGATCAGTGATCGGTTAGTCAAAAAATGAAAGAAATGTACAAAGACAGGTTGATAAAGTTTATTGTTTCGTACAAAAATACATTTTTCTTCAAGCAGTTTCATTCAATGTGCAAAGGACAGACGTGTCTGACATTCAAGTATTTGTTACAGTCCTGTTGCTAATTTTGATCAGAGGTAGGCCTTCGTATTTAAAACACAGAGCTGAGGTAGAGCAAAATTTGCCAGTAATAGTTTAGTGCTGTATTATAAATATCAAAGGGATCCACATGAGTTTAAAATCACATTTTTAAATTCTCCATAAAAGTGCAAAAGGCAGTTTGATGCTCATCATGTGCTGTTAAAGTGACTGTGCAGCTTTGCAGTAGTAAACTTTTCAACACTTTCAGTTAGTATGTCTGAACAGTGTGCAGTGAAATCAAAAATGTTTGAAGCAGGTTCAGAAAACCCCCATGATCAAAATGTCACATTTCTAAACTTCTGAGTTTCTGGTACGTCAGAATCAAAGTTACAAACCTGCCTTTTCTTAAAGATGTTTGCTGGCTGGAGGGAGCCATGTTGGATATTCAACATGTTCTCAGAAACTTTGGTAAATATTTTAGTTAATCTCAAAATCATAAATAAATCAAATGTACAGTTAATCTACCACTGCATCTAGTAGACTAGTTATCTTCAGTGCAGCCAGTTTGATATATTACAAACTAACTAGCCTCAAAAAATACTTAGCTTTCACTGTTTAATCAGTGAAAACTCACTAGCTCCAGTGTTGATAACTAGCTAGTTATATTGAAGTTTTGGTTAAGAATAGACTCATTGTTTTAACTTTTCACATCCATTGTTTTCACATAAACAATAATTTTTTTAGCACAATGTAATTTTTTAATCCCTATGCTTCCCAGTCAGTTACTTTCAGCAGGTTTGAGACTCACTGTTCATATTTGCATCTACAATAAAACCAACTCAGTTTTGGACTCACTGAATTGAACAGCACTCTATAGACTAGAGAAAAAGAATAAATTATGAGTTTTGTGATTGGGAAGAGGCAGTCGAATACATTATTCTGCATTGTGTGTATAAGCTGGAAGGATTTAATTAACATTTTTTAATTATTTGGTGTAAATAAATGTTAGAATCGTCATCTAAAGGCCACAAGGGAAGAATACCCGGTAATCACACTCCATACCAGTAGGCGGCGGTAATTCAAACCAGATACCAAATAATACAGAGACAGTCAGGAGAAGTTGGATGGTAGCTGTGGAGAACTAGAGTTGGACACTCTGCTGGTTCAGAGCAACAATTAAAGCTAACAGCCATGTTTGTGTTCAGTGAACCTGTAGATAAATCACTCAGCCACAAAGAAAACCCAGAAGTGTCTTCCTGCAAGCCACAACAGCCCAACCAACCCATCTCTAGGTAACCAATTGATTTTCTCCTATGATTGGTGGTTTTGTAGCTTGTTGATTGGTAGAATATCAGTGTGTCTGATTCTTTATGAAGTATGTTGAGAACTTCAGCTCATGGTTGTTGGGGGATAAAGTTAAACCACTTCACTGCCTGGTTCTGTAAGAGATGCAGTTACTGACACCCACCAGTAGAGGCAGTAGTAATGGACAGCCTTGTTACTGGTGAAGGCAGCCACCAGTAAACTGACAGCAGCTACTGCACTGAAGGTGACCAGCTTGTTTTTGGTGGTGGTGGGTCATGGGGTAGTTTGTACTATCAGTGGGAACCAAAATAGCCCCACGTCAGGTGCAGCTGCGCACACGGGCTCAGGTTACGTCTCAGTCAAAACACTGAGGTTCAGAAACACACCAAGCTGGACGGAAAGCGCTCAAAAAAGTCATTTTTGTCCTGTAGTATGTTAAAAAATAAATAAATATGTATTTACAAAGTTTAGACTGTAAACATCAGGTGGACTCCGGGTCTGTCCAGAGCCGCTTCGATTCACACTGAAGAGGAGTATTTCCCTCCATCTCTGAGCTGTGGAGATAAAGAGACAATTTTTAACCAACATTGTGTATTTAAATATCTTTATAAAGACGTTGGTTCTGGTACAAGCTAATGACTAACACCTATGCTACAGAATTTATTTGTATTAACATATACCACAAATTTAAAGTTATAATCTTAAAACTGCAGTCGATATAAGAAACAATACATAAACAAACTATATTTAAAGAGGCAATTTAAGGTGATAAAAACCATCAAAGTTGGTCATAGATTTAGTATTTTTACATTTAGTCGTAAATATTGGATGTTGAACTTCATCAAAGTTATGAAAGTTTTCTCCAGCTGTCATAGCACTGTTCCTCCCCCACCTGTTTCTGACCTCTGGTGACGTCTCTACATTTTTCTTATGATAATGAATGTGTTTAAATGTTTAATATTTGATATTTTCACTGTGGTTTTCATCCCAACCTTTGACAAACTCTTCTTCTTCTCTTTGGAATGTGCAGTTTTATTATAAATACTTCATTATTTTAATAATTTAATCTAAAATGTCTGAAATATGTGTGTTTATCGTGAATACAAGCTGAGTTTGCTCCACTTGTATTATCAAAAATGTAAATATCCATCTCCTTCACTCTTTAGTAATTATCAGAAACCAGCTGGGGTAAAATGTTTATTTAATTTTTATATTGAGGTTTTTATTTATTTTTTTTTTATTTTGTGGCCAATAAAAATAGTTTTTATAGTTGTAAAATAAGAGTAAAGAAAAAAATACAGATTAGAAACAAATTGGCAGCGTTAACGTCCTCCACACTTCAGTTAGCATTAGCAAGATCTGATTCTTCTTCCTGTGACATCATCACTGCTCAGATGTAACATAAATACAAACAAAATTAAACCAAAATTGTATTTCAACTGGAAAGAAGAAAAATATTCTGTTTATTTATTTGTTAAAAGTTCTGTTTGATTATCGGGTCCAATAAAATAATTTATGTTATTTTTATACTTAAAATAATAATAATAATTAAAACATAATGATTCCTAAATGGACTCCTAAACTGAACTAAAGTTCAGATTATTTTTTGCTCCACCATAGAGAATGAACAAGAAACGATACTATATATTGATAATCAATCCATATATATAACTTTTTGTATTTCAATGTAATATTTAAGTTTTGAAGCAATTTTTGAAAAACTATTTGCACGTTTTAAAAATAATTTTGTGGTCAGACTGGATCTGCACCGATTGCAGTTTTCTGGCCGATCGCCGATCTTTTAAAAAGCCCGACCTGCCGGTTCAGTTTCCACCCACTGAATGAAGAACAGACATATTTTAACCAAAAACTCACTAGACACAGTTCAGTTGTGAAAACATTTTTATTGAGTGTTTTGATTGAAAGAAGCTGATTTGGAAACTTTTTATTTTTTTGCCAGATTTTATATATTTTTTTAGTTTCTTATGCATTATTGTCATTTTGTACTTAAATACCAACATTTTCTCTGAACTTTATATTTTAGTCCATCTGATGATGCAATCTTTAAATATTAAATGATTGATAATTTGATTAGTTACTCAGTACTTGAGTAGGCTTTTTAAAAAATACTTTATTTTTATCTGAGTTATTTCTTGACTGCTCCTTTTTACTTGATTCAAAATAAGTTGAAGTAGTTCTACTCTTACTTGAGTAATTTTTGAGTTCTCTGCCCTCCTCTTCTGCCCACAGGAGAGCAGAAGAGGGCAGAGGTTAAACATTATATCTTTGCTGAGGTAGAGTATCGGCCGAATCGGCGGGCCGATACATCGGTGCATCGTCTCTCGGACCCTGCGGTCCAGAAAGCGCCCCACCTGTTTCCTCTGGTTGCTGAGGCAGAAGGTGCAGATGGGCCGCAGGGAGGGGCCGCTGAGCGCCGCGGGGCCGTGCAGGATCATGTCCTGGTACCGGAGGCAGGGCTGCCCGTCCCGGCAGTCCTCCCCCAGCAGCAGCACGTTGGCCAGGTGGGAGATGTAGCTGGAGGCCAGGCGCAGCGTCTCTATCTTGGACAGCTTCCGGTCCGCGGGCTCCGTGGGGATGAGCGTCCGCAGCGCGGTGAAGGCCGTGTTCACGCTGTGCGTCCTGTCCCGCTCCCGCGCGTTCGCCGCCTGCCGCTGTTTGCTGACGCCGGACAGCCGCGCGTCTCTGCCGCCGCCCGCGCCGCTCCTGCGCCGCCGCCGCCGCCTCGCCGCGCCCGGGCAGCCGCCCTCCGCCTCCAGTCTCTCCCCGGACTCTCGGGTCGGGCTGCAGCCGCCCGTGGACTTCCCGTCGGAGCTGTCCGTGTCGGTGTCCAGCTCGGAGGCGCAGCCGTCTGTGCGGGACTTCATCCTGCCGCTACTCTGCGCCGAATCCCGCCGAGCTGCGCCACTTTATCCGGCGGGTGAAAATAGCCCCGGGGGGGACGGGGCCCAGCAGCTGCCGCCGATCCGGTGACCGAACCGAGCGGGCTGCATGCCATTCTGCAGAATGACGGCTGCTTTCTGGGTCACGGCCAGCGCGCCGCGGAAGGGGGAGACAGGTGGAGGAGGGGAGGCACCTGTTGAGGATGGAGTCTAAATTAGACTCTGCAGTTTTCATGCTGCTTCAGGTTTTCCCACAACTGGAAACCTGCAAACTACGTCACGGAAGTAGGACGGCCTGTCAGGGACATATTAGACACAAGTCATGGACATGGAGGAGTCGATTTCTGCCAAAATGGCGCAGAACGGCTCAGATTCATCTCACAACTTTCAGGGTCATTTTGTGTTCGAGTTTGAAAATTTACAAGATAAAAAATCAGAAATTTTGTAGAAAAAATCATGAAAATGTATGAATTCAGTTATAGACATTTTCATCAGTTGAGAAATTTTGCTAAAAAACAAAAATATTTGAGTCTGAAAAGTCAAACTTTTGCAATTTTTAAACAAAAAATAATTTCAGTTTTGTTCTTGCCAATTCCAGACGTTTGAAACTCAGAAAATATGTTTTAAAAAAAAGAAATTCAAAAATTTTCAACATTTCCAACAATTTTGAGATTAATCTCAAACTCTGAGGGGGTTCTCCTCTTGCAAACTTTTCACTGAAAATTCAAATCTTTTTCCTTATTCCTGAGATTTTAAAAAGTTTTTTAGAGTAAACTTACTATTTCTATTTGCAATGGGCCCAATTCTCTGTTGTGGATGCTTGCATCTACTCTGATACCCCAAAATAAAACCAGTTTCAGCCTGTGGCAGCCCCTGTTAAAGTATAAAGTCCACTGGATTAAATCAGAACATGTTTGCCACAGTTACATCAAAGTAGCCTTAGAATGGCCTAGTCAAAGGTCAGACATAAATCTGTGTCAAAAATTGATCTCTCCATACACAATTAGACTGAACTTCAACTATTTTGCACAAAAAAGGCATGCCGCACTTTTCAGATGTTTGATTGTAAAAAAAAAGAGAAATGTCTCTAATTACCTAATGTTAAAGGTAAATAAAATGACCTTTAAAATAAATTTTAAATTTAAAAATAATTTTAAATTAATTAATTTAAATGAATTAATTACGTTTATAGTTTTAACGTAACTATAAAGTCCCAGCTACGTTAAAGTTTTGGATGCAATGTGACAAAAATTTAATTACCGGAAATTTATTGTGAAGAAAACTTGGAGTAAAGTTGATTGTTTTCCTGAATGTCTTAATATTTTTTAATGGAAATGTGTTTGATCTTTTTAGCACGGTGGTGGCAGCATCATGATAGGTGATCATGACATGATCAAACTCAAAAATACTTTGTTTTTCTCCCGAAATGGAAATTAAATCTGAAAAAATTATCTGAGAATCTTTAGTGACGTGAGAAGGAAGGATTTCCAGTAGCAGTCAGTCTTCCAACGAATCTCAAGAAGCCTCTGACTGAAGATCATTGCTTTGACTCACAGCTGTCATGACCTGCTAACAGCTCCATAGTAACACAGTGAGCTCGGCTAATCCACCTCCTTTGCTTTTGCTGCTCCTCTTTGAATCTTTCTAGAAAGTTGAGCAGAAAGATGTTGGAGTAGGGGATTAAGATACACAGTGGAGATGGTGTGAACTTCCTCCTTTGAGGTCAATGGTCAGGCATTATTGGATGCTACATTTGTGATGCTAATCAGTTGGACTCCATTTGTAATTACAGGTTACAGTTCAACATTTGTGGGTTTTTCCTCAGAAATCCATTTAATTACCAAACCCTCAGCATGATGCTTCCACCACCATGCTTCACAGTTGCTGCTGTGCACGCAGACGTCTTGTTTTGTGATAAACAGAACCTTTTTGTGGTCCAGCTGTTTGATCAGTGCATCCTTCATGAGCCCCAGTCTGCATGGATCCTCCCGCTCAGCGTGTTTGTGTTTGTTTGTCGGGATCCAAGGGGCTGCAGGCGAACTTTGGCCGCCTGCTCTGAGCTCCTGCTGAGTGAGCAGCCCAGGTGGGACCGGGCCGGACCTGGCGGTGCCCTCCGCCGTCCGCTCCAGTGCCATCTTTGGGGACAGATATAAATATCTGCCTCATGTGGGCTGCTGCTGCTGCTCCCACTGACACTCAAGCTGTCGATTTCCAGCAAATATTGATTTATCTTGACTGAAACAAATGATGATATTGCTTTGCAGTGAAGTGTTATTCCTGTTTTTTGTGATTTTAGTGATAATTTATTACATCGTGTCATGTTTTTGTCTTTTTCTATTGTCGCCACTAGAGGGCGGTAAATTCCCAGTGATAATCTTATCTCAAAATCTCAAAAACTTCCTCATATTTCTAAATAAAGCTTTTTGATGACAAGGTATTGAGGTCAGACTAGCAGAATAAAACATAATATTACCAGATGAAAACTAATATTTTGATTTTGTTCTCAAAATTTGATAATTTGAATATGATATGTTTAAGAAATGAATCCTGATTATCTGTAAAACCGAAACAAATGATTCTCAGGATACTTTAATTTTCTTTTTTGCATAGAAATTCTCATTAAAATTGCTACTTGATTCTGGTAATATTATGACTTCATTCTCATGTTATTTCAACACTTAGTCATATGTTTTTTTGTGTTTGTTTTATTACAATTTTATTCTTGTTTGACTTCTTGCACAACTTTAATATTTAATATTCTTGTGGTTTTATGACTTCATTTCCTGACATTACGATTTTTTACCAAGTATCTCAGAAAACTGGAAAGAGTCCATGAGTTAGTCAGAAGAATTTACTCCTTGAATTACAGACTATTTTTTAAGCATATCATTTGAAAGTTCAAGCTCCAGGAAATAGACGGATCCCATCAGAAAGCCTATAAAACATTTTTTATTCTCCTACAAAACATCCAGTCAACAAAGATTTGATGGGAAGCAGCAGATTACAAAGTGATTAAGATATATACATCGAGGATATGTGACAATATAAAACATCCAAATAAATAAATACAGACAGAGAAAGTCAGATTATAGGCGAGGAACCTGAACATGAGGAGTTTCTACAGTAGTCAGAGGTTTTGGGTCAATAATCCAATGATCTTCAGCCGCGAGCGACGAGGAGCTGAAACACAAAAACATGATTCCAGGTGAAATCTATGAATGCAAAAATAATCTGACATTTAGGACAAGTTGAAAATCATTCAAGGCTGTATTTATTTTTCACTTTAATCAGTTTCACTGATTAATTTAAATGTTTGTTTCTTTTTTAAAGGGTTTCCCAGCATGCAGTGCTCCTTACCCTCTGTGAACACCGAGCCCCGGCGAACCCGGCCCTGCAGGCGCAGACGTTCGGCCGAACGCAGCGGCTGCCAAACAAACATGGCGTCTCACAGCGAGCTGAGGGTGAAAATAGGTTGAGACTCGGTCAGAACCGGAGAAACGTCCCCCACATGCAGCAGCGGCAGCGGCGGCGGCTGCAGCAGCAGCAGCAGCAGCTGCAGCAGCGGCAGCAGCGGCAGCAGCGGCAGCAGGTCGTACTCACGGATCTGACAGAGAAGTCCCTGCCAGCCCGGCGGACAGAGGCAGGTGTTCGGACCGACACACTCCCCTCCGTTCAGACACGTCTGCAGGCAGCTGGCTGACAGGAGAACGCATCATCAGCCCATCATCAAACGCTCATATGAGTACCAGATGTAGCTTTATTATTAAATTTCAAACAAGAGGCCCAATAAATTCATCCCAGTGGCCACAAATGGCCCCCGCACCACAGTTTGGACACCCACTAGAGCACATTTTCAAACATTCAATTCAAACTCTTAACTATCCTATCAGAAGCTCACAAAGCCATGACATCATCACCGTCTGATGCTGAAGAAGGGGAGTAACGGGTAATTTAATCTGATTTTAGTCGTATTTCCAGAGTTCCTGCTGCGTTTTCTTACGTTTGTCGCATCTCTTCCCTCGCCAGCCGGACGGACAGTCGCACACATCTGGGCCGACGCACCTGCCGCCGTTCATGCACACGGGGTCACACACACCTGGCGGACAGCAGACAGGTAACTGAATGTGGAAATCATGTTTTCAGATCATTTAAAGAGACATTTGAGAGAAAAGACGGACTTTTCTCGCAGCGTTCCCCGGAGAATCCCTGCAGGCAGGAGCAGAGGTTGTTCCTCCTGCACACGCCGCCGTTTTTACAGTTCGGACTGCAGACAGCTGAGGGAGATAATTATAGATTAATATTAAACTAAAAAACATCGAGCTGATGGTGCAGAACAGGATCAGGGCCACTGAAAAGAAGAATGCTGAATTTAATCTCAGAAATCTGAATTCTTAAAACTTTTTTCTCAGAATTCAGACTGTAACCTCAGAAATGTGATTAAATCTTATATTTCTGATTTTATTAATTTTACTTGAACATAACTGACATACCTAAGAATATTTTGTTGTTTATTTGGATTTTGACAGATAAATAACCAAATAACAGAATTATAATGTGAAACAAAAGTTTTGGGATTAAACTCTTTTAATTTTTAATTAATTTTTTCCTGGTCCTAATCCTGTTTCGTATGAAGTTGCGTTTAGGTTTATATTTACCGTTCTGACACTGCGCTCCATAGAAACCGCGAGGACACTCGCAGGCGTTGGGTCGAGAACACACTCCTCCATTCAGACAGACGGCCGAACAGAGAGCTGGAGGAAACAGACAGGTTACCTGCTGGCTGGTTCCCACCCCAAGACATCAGGGACTCACCTGTCTCACAGGACGGTCCGGTCCACTCTGGAAGACACCTACACTCGTCTGGGGACACACACTGGCCTCCGTTGTGGCAGTGACGGCTGCAGACCACTGCAGTAAACATTAAGAACATCAGACCAGATTCAGGTCTGAGTTTTGGATTAGAGGAAGCAAATAATGGCTTGTTAGATCAAAATTAGTTCTGATCAATTAATAACGTCTTTTAGTGTTGTAGTTTCGCCTCCATCCACCAGAGGGCGCCTCTGTGGAGTCAGTACAGAAATAAAGATGGCAGGGCCACACCAGAACGGGAAACAGAGTCCAGTTTGAGGTGCAAAATGCACTTTATGTTTCTGTTTTGACATATAAACGCTCGATAAGCTCTTTAAGTTTCACATGACTCTCATTCAGCTGAGCTGTCAAATATAAAATGACTGATATGAAGGCGAGGATGTGATGACAGAAAAGCAGATGGCATAACAAGTTTATTTTTCTCTTAATCAAGGATTAGACAATAGGACAGAGAGTTGTGTCTATAAATATAAATATTTTTCACATTCTTATTTCTTTATTTCTTCCACATTTATCCAGATTATCCAGGAGAGCTGAATACCGGATTAGAAAATGTCGGCAGCCTTCAGAAAGTCTTCACTGAGGTAAGAATACTTTCTCATTCTCTGAGACTATTGTTTGTTTTGCAATCTGTGCAAATGAAATGCCAACATGTTAACTCTAAATCATTTAGTCTGTTTTCGTGAAATCGTGAAAATGTGTTTTTTTAATCCAGTTTTGTTTTGTATGAACTTAACATAGTTTTATACGAGAACCTAAATGGTAAAACTGTGATTCTCCCATTTAAAGAATTCAGAGGAGACATTTATTATAAATGAAATAAAACAAAATCTGAACATTTTGAGGTAGAGATCAATTCTGAAGAGTAACAAAGACTTGATCTAAACTCCAATAAACAAACTGGACTTCTGGGTTTGGTAACTATTAAATCTGAATAGTTACAAAACCACTAATAAAACTCTTTGTAGAAACTTTATGAATATTTTGGACTCACTGGTTTCACATCGGGGACCAACAAACCCATACGGACAGGAACAAGTCTGCAGTCCCACACAGCTGCCTCCATTTTCACATGGAAACCTGCACAGAGCTGCGAAGACAGGAAGCTCTAACATTTCTAATAAACGTTCAGGTTTCTGACTGTTACAGCAGCTTTATGTTCACCTTCTTCACAAATCTCTCCATGGAAACCTCCGGGACACTGACACACACCTGGAGCAACGCAAACCCCGCCGTTCACACACTCTGGGTCACAAATCGCTGATGAAAAACATTTTAAAAATGTTAAAACACAGTTTAGATCTGAGCAAAAATCAAATAGTTCTTCCACAGTTTACCTGTCTGGCAGTTTGATCCTGTGTAGCCTGGTTTGCAGCGGCATGTGTTGGGTGCAGCACACTCCATGTTTCTGCCACATGTGTGCCTGCATACAGCTTAAAAACCAACAGGGGGCGCCACTGAGAAGGTTTATACACAAGTCGGCCATGTTGGATTTGGAAATTGGGGATTGGGTCAGACTTCAAACATCAGATGCAATTATTTATACAAATGAAATGAATTTAGTTAGTGGACACCCAGACAGATTCTGGGTAAGAATTTTGGGTGCAGTTGTGTATTTTATGATGGTGTAGTCAAAGTTTGGCTACATCCTGATGTGTAACTTGCCTTTTTTTGCATTTTTGCATTTTGACATGAAGTCAATCTCTTGGGTTAGACCTTTAGGCCAGCCATTTATTCCAATAGGATGTAAATTGAACCTTGTTAGCCCATAACCTTACACACTTTGATGAACGGCAACCACATCTAAAAAAGAACAGATGCTCTCTTGGGTTTCGCCTTACCCCGACATGTGTGTCCATCTCCGATGTATCCTGCAGGACAACTCCCACAGCGGAAACCCCCACCCACCGCCGGCTCACACTGGACCCCAGGAGAGCAAGGTTTACTGGGGCAGGCTGTCACATGACTGTTGGCTGTTACTTTGAGATGATTGGATGGAGGTTTCTGTGGTGTGAAGCCTGAGACTGCCTGGACAAGAGGTGTAGGAGTTGGTGCTGGGGGTGCTTGTGGACTCTCAGGTAGGGGATCAAATTCGTCTCCATCTGCAGAGAACTCCGATTCGGACAGAGCGTAGGACAGAGCTGTGAGGGCGGCGGTGAGAGGGAGCGCAGGCTTTGGAGGCGTCCAGGACTGGAGCTGTGGCTGAACTCCCTGTGGTGGCGTCACTTTAAGGGCTGTGGATCGCTCAGACTTCTGGGTTATCTAAGGAAGATGTTATGGAGTTTAATACTCAGACTCATATCACCTTGTCTTTTAGAAAACATTTTAACTCACCTTGGGACCCGACGCTCTAAAGGTTGCAGTTCTTGACCTGGTGAATGTCCTGGTGACAGATCTGGAGACGGCAATCTCATGAGAGGAGTGGGGATTGAATAAAGCCTTGGACGATGTCCTTGGAGTGTCTCTGGAGGACGAGGAGACTGCTTCCCTTCTCCCGGTTCCACCGCCTCTCTGTGATGATAAGTCCTGACGTGGTGGATTGTCTTGTGTGGCCATTGATAAAAGTGGACGCCTGATAGATTGCCTGGATGGGAAGCTTGGCAGGTGGAGGTGAAGTTGGGAAGGTTTGGCTTTACTTACATGCAAATATCGGCTGGATTTACCAAACATCTGCTGCTGAGGGAGGACATTGGATGCTGAGGGAAGACAGGAGGTCAAATCAGCAAATATTCTCCTTGAATTTCTTCTTGTGCTTTTAAAGTTCAAGTACCAGAAACACAATCAGACTTGCTGTGTTCATAATTGTCAAAATATTTTTATCAACCCATTGAGGGATCAGGCCTTTTATCCATTCTGCCATAAAACTGAGAATGTTTCCAAAGCAGAGCTTGTACTTAATCAGTGCTGCCATGAATACAATGAAAACAAAGCCATTCAAGCGATTTATGCCTTGTTAGAGGTTTGAGGCATCTGCAGAAACACCCAAAGTTGCTTTGAGACTTTCCAGATAAACAAGATCCACAGTAAAGGGATTAAAGCTGGAATCAAACTGTCTGCTCAGACTTCCCCGGTCTCCCTTAAGAGCAACAGCATTAAGCAATCTGTTGTTGAAACTTTGTGGCCGGGTGGTTAGTACATTAAGGCAGACTCTAACCACTCACTGATTTATGTGCTGCAATAAATGACATTTTTTGAATGAAAGAAAACCGAAAACATTGGGGAAATCAGACAATGCAAAAGTCCTCAAAAGCAGCATATAATGTCTGACTGGATTCAGTTTACAAAATAATTTAAAACATGCACAGAACCGTCAAAGGGGTAAATTTATTATTAAACATTCCCCAAATGTAGTGATTGGTTTGAGAACTTGCGGTAACTGCATGGCGAACCTTCCTTGGGGGTCTTCATGCAGATGCGACCGTTGCCGTGAAGTCCGGGGGGGCAGCGACCGCAGACGTAGCCGACGTGTGGAGGCCTGCGGTTGATGCACTGGACCCCAGGGAAGCACGGCCTGCTGGCACATGTTGCTGAGACGGGGACAGCTGGAGACCGGACCGGACCTGCGGTCAGGAGAAAGACTGCCTTATCACCTGCTCAGGTCCCTCAGCCACATTTAGAGATAACATCTGAATTATATGGTGCTGAATTCAATGCTTGATCACTTACACTCGTTAGCCGCTTCATTAGGTACCTGTTGCTACACCATTTTCTTGCTCTTTGGTGTTTTAAGAATATATTCTTCCTCCATGGTGTTAACTTTGAAACACTAAACATCTTCCTGATATGTAAACAGTTTTTATTCTTCCATTTACCTGATTGTGATGTTTTATTGGAAGTATTCCCGACTTCATTCTTTCCTGTTGACTGGTCCAGTGTCTCTCGCTTGGCTGTACTCTCTGAGTTGTCCTTAAAGGTGTTGCTGATGGGCTTGGATGAAACTGAAGGACCTCTTTGAGGTTTTCTAGCCTGGCCACCTGCGTTTCGGGAAGCATCTGCTGCCACACTCTTGTTGGTTTCCATTGTTCTGACCTTTAAGTTGGGGGTAATTCCCGGGATATTCCTCAAAGAGGTGGACTCTGCTTTGGTCCCAGTTCTTGGTGTCTCTTTGTCCACCTCCGGCTTCAAAGAGGTGGAGACTCTGTGGAAGGAGTCCATCTTTGTTGGGACTCGCAGCAGAACATCTGCTCTCTTGTAAACAGTTGTAAGAGGAAAAGGTGTTGGGATGATGGCATCCGGCCTAAAGACTGCTGCTTGAGGGGAAAAACAAGAAATTCACCTTGATAACTTCATAGGACATTTTTTATGAATGTAGTGGTACAATGAGATGATTTGAGACACAAGAAAGTTTTTAACAGGTCAGAAGTTTAAAAGTCTCAACATTGATTGTTCCTTACGGCTTGTCAACACATTTAGAGCCTCTAGTGAATTTGATTTATGGCGACAAGTTTTAGACGAATCATCAAGTCAAAGTCATAAATCTGATTTATCCTGGCTTAACGCTGCTAAATATTCTGGGCACCAACTGAGTGCATTTTCAGCATTTTTCAGAAAGTTTTTTATGTTAAACTAATTGGTTAATATACTGGAAAGCAAACTTTTTTATTACCCTATTTTTACAAGAAGGTTGCTTGGGAATTTTGTCTGGGTAGTTCTGATGTTCAAAGTCAAAACATACATAATATCGGAGAATATTCAAGCTCATCTGATGCTTAAAGTTGCAAATCTTTGGCACTAAAGGAAGCAAGAAGGTGAAAACAAAGTGTCCAACTCATAATTGACCTTTTGTGGTTTTGTTTCTCCTTAAAACCATAAGAGGTGAAGGATTGTTTCAGTTGCAGGCCTGCAGAAGCTGCAATATTCACAATATCCAAACTATCCCATTTATTTCAGGAAAAAGTAATTGCCCCTAAACCTAATGATCGGTTTGCTCGGTAACACATTACCCGAACCATTTTAGAAGTTCTGCTTTCATCTCTTTGGGCCTTTGTGTTTTGGGTCAGAGTTCTGGTGCTGGCCTTGGAGCTATGCAGCCATCTTGCTTATTATTTAAGCATGAACTCCGACCTTAACTGAGGCCTGCAAAGCTTTAGATGTTGCTCTGTGACGACCTGGATGAGTCGTTGATGAGCTCTTGCAGTATTGTTGGTAGGTTGGACTCTTTGGAAGGTTCTCTGTGTGCATAATGGTTCTGTTTAGTCCCTCTACCTCAGAAACGCTTTCTGAGGTAGAGGATATCAATCTGATTTTATATTTCTTTAGATCTGGTCATGATGTGTTGCTTTCTGAGATCTTTTAGCCTACTTCATGCTGTCATACAGGTTCTGTCTGAGAGATTTGTTGTTGTTACTTAACACAAATTCATATCTGTTTGGATTCTCATTTTCCTTAAATGTTTTTTTTAATATTATTTTTGGTTCTGATAATACAGTATTTTTTTGGAGATTTAAAATGCAAAATGAATAAATGAGAACGCTGTACATGTGACGACAGAGAGACTAAGCTTAGCTGGAAGCAAGTGAGCAAAGCATCTGCATTGGATACAATCAGACATCTGCTTTCCATTCACTACAAGCTCATCGGAGAC